AGAAACAGAAAGAATATCCCAAGAAGACTCCATGCTGTCAGCACAAAACCTGATGTGCGTCTCAATCCCATGAACTGTGAGATCATGACCCAAGCCGAAACCAAGAGTTGGACAGTTAACCATTTGAGCCACCCAGGCTCCTGTGTCCTTCATTTTTGAAGGACACTGTTGCTGGATATAGTATTCTTACTTGGCAGCTTTTTTCTTTCAGCTTTTTGAGTATATCATCCCACATTCTTCTGGCCTGCAAGATTTCTGCTGAGAAACCCACTGATAGTCTAATGGGGGTTCTTATACACGACAGGTTACCTTTTTCTTGTGTTCCCAAAATTCTCACTGCTTTTACTTTTGACAGTTTGATTGTAATTTTTCTCCTTGTGTATTTCTCTGAGCTCCTCTTTGGGTTTCTTTGGGCTTCTTGGATCTGTGTGTCCATTTCCTTCCTCAGATTTGGGAATTTTTCAGACATTGTTTTCTTGAATAAACTTTCAGGTAATTTTTCTTTCTTTCTCCTGCTGTGCATAGATTGGTCTGTTTTTAGTGTCCCATAAGTTCCTGAAGCTTTCTGCATTCTTTTTCATTTTTTTTCTTATTGGTCTTGTGATTGAATGATTTCCAGTGACCTTTATTAGAATTTGCTAATACTTTCTTCTGCTTGACTTAGTTTTATGTTGAGCCTCTCTCATGAATTTTTATTTCAGTTATTTTCTTCAGCTTCATACTTCTGTTTGATACTTTTGTATATTTTCTGTCGCTAGTTGCAATCCTCAGTTGGCTCATTTGTTGTTGTTCCAGTCTCAGTGAGCATCCTTATGATGGTTATTTTGAATTATTTTTCTGGTAAATCATAGAGCTGTGTTTCATTAGGGTCTCTGTCTGGAGATTTATCTTCTTTCCTTTGTTTGGAACACATTAACTTGTTTCTTCATCTTCCTTGACTCTGTGTTGGTGTGTGTGCATTAGACAAAACAGTCACCTCTCCCAGTCTTCGTGGAATGGTCTCCTATGTTCAAAGACTGCCGTCCCCCAAGTCCACCCTGGCCAGAGATTCTGGTGGCCTCTCAAACCTTCATGCTGGTCCAACATGCTTCTTTTGTTTTCTGTGCTTCCCAAGTGTCTAGGGTATGCTGAATCCCCTCAGTGCACTGTAACAAATGGACTGAAGCCATTCCCCAGTCATCCTTCAGAAAAGTTGAATTGCCGTAAGCTCCATCCAACTGTTTCTGTCCATAGGGAGAAGGTGGAAGTTGTTTTTTTGGTTGTTGTTGTTTGTTTCTTTCGTTTTGTTTTTTCATCCACTTGCTCTTTGCTCAGTCAGGGGAAGGGCTGTGGCAACTCCCGGACCAAACTCTGTCTCTGTTCTCCTGACCTCCCTGGTGGCTAGATTATGCCAGGTTTCATCACGGCCTCAAGACAGACCCTCTTCCCTCCCTTTGGACAGCCCCCAGAAAAGTTGGGGCACTGGGCTTGAGGACTCTTTCCCTTCCCAAGAAGAAGCTGGAGGTGGAGGGTTTATCCTGTGTTGGGGGTAGGTGTTCTGGTGGGTGTAGGGGTTTGGGCATCCCAAATCTCCCTACCAGTTTTGATGAGTCTGATTCTGTATTTATCTAGCCTTCAGGTGCCTTTCAGTTACTTTCTAGATTTCTTGCCATAGGGAATTTTTGTTTGAATTTTTTGCTGAATTTATGTGTTTGTGGGGTGAAGGAGAGTCCAGGGTTTCCTACTCTCTCATCTTGCTGATGTTACTTCTCCCAAGGTACTGATTTTTAACTTTTAATTGATACTTGAAGTACAAACAACTGATGTCTAACAGTTTTAATGTATTTGGAATATTGCTAGCTTCTTGGAAACATTTGTATTTTGCTTTTAGGGATGAAAAAAAAGTTTTAAGGGAATGGTGTATGTAACACTATGTTCCAAAGGCTAAAGTAAAAGAAGCTAGCTATAAAAACTGTATTCTAGTTGGTAAATTTATTTACTGTAGGAAAATATTTAGCAGTTCCAAACTACTCTAGTATACAGTAAAATTTAACAAAGAACTAAATTAATTGAATGAGATGATGACTAGAAAAAAGTTAAAAGTAAGGGAGAAGGCTAGAACTAACCACATTGTGCTTCATTGCACTCCTGTGTTCCTGTCTACACATATATACATATGTGTATACAGAAAATATAGACATAACATGTTTATTCATATATAGGTTAGTATAGGTATGTATGTTACCTACTGTGTTTGCTGTGAGGATGTAGAAGCAATGATACCCCACTGACAACAAGCATCTTGTTTCCAGATCTTGTTTTTTAAATATTATTCTCTAATAAAAATGGAACAGGTGTCCCTGGAAAAATGGCTGCTTCTAGGACAACAGCAGGAAAAGTATAAGATGATCCTTTTTTTTTTTTTTTAATTTTTTTTTCAACGTTTTTTATTTTTGGGACAGAGAGAGACAGAGCATGAACAGGGGAGGGGCAGAAAGAGAGGGAGACACAGAATCGGAAACAGGCTCCAGGCTCCGAGCCATCAGGCCAGAGCCTGACGCGGGGCTCAAACTCACGGACCGCAAGATCGTGACCTGGCTGAAGTCGGACGCTTAACCGACTGCGCCACCCAGGCGCCCCTAAGATGATCCTTTGAGGCTTCTTATAGTACTGGAAAGTGATATCCTGTTATTCTAGCACCATTTGATGAAAAGACCATGTGTTCTCCTTTGTATTTCCTTTGCCCCTTCGTTGAATGTCACTTGACTGTATTTATGTGAATGTATATCTGGTGCTTTCTATTCTGTTCTATTGAAAAGAATATTTTCTATTCTTTGTTTAGTACCACATTATCTTATTATTGTATCTTTATAGTAAGTCTTGGGGTAGCATCAAGTCCTTCAGCTTAGTTCTTCTCCTTCAGTACTGAGTTGACCATTCTGGTCTTTTGCTTGTCCATGTAAACTTTAGAGTCAGCCTGTTGATGTCTCTAAACTAATTTGCTGTGATTTTGATTTTGATTGTATTGAATCTGTAGTTCAAGTTGTGAAGGACTAACATCTTGACAATATTGGATCTTCCCAACCATGAACTTGGAATATCCCTCCATTTATTTAGTTCTTTTAAAAATCTGTTCATCAGAATTTTGTAGTTTTCCTCATATAGGTTGTATACATATTCTATTAGATTTGTGCCTAAATAAATTTTTTTGGTTGCTAATACAAATGCTATTTTGTTTCTAATTTTGAATTCCACTTGTTCATTGCTGTTGTATGAAAAAGCAATTGATGTGTATATGACCATTGTATTCTGTAACCGTATTAATAATTATTATTTCTGTGTTATTTGTTGTTGGTTCTTTTGGATTTCTATATAGGCAGTCATGTCATATATAAAGAAAGTTGTACTCCCCCCCCCCCCCAACCTGTGTATCTTTTATTTCCTTTTATTGTCTTACTACATTAGTAAGGACTTCCATTGTGACTTTGAGAAAGAGTGTGAGAGGGAGGTGCCTTTACTTTGTTCTGGATTTTAGTAGGAAAGCTTGTAGTTTCTTACCAGTGAGTATGACATTAGTTATAGGTTCTTTGTAAGTATTCTTTGTCAGATTGAAGAAGTTCCCTTAGTCTTAGTTTACTGAGAGTTTTTATCACGAGCGGGTCCTGGATTTTCTCAAGTTCTCTTCCTGAATTTATTGGTGCATTCATGTGTTTTTTCTTCTTTAGCCTGTAGATAGGCAATAGATTACATTAAAAAAATAGATTACATTAATTGGTTTTTGCATTTGTTTTGAAAAATATTTAATGTTTATTTCTGAGGCACATGCACACGCGCGCGCGCACACACACACACACAGAATCTGTAGCAGGCTCCAGGCTCTGAGCTGTCAGCACAGAGCCTGACATGGGGCTCGAACTCACAGACTGCAAGATCATGACCTGAGCCAAAGTTGGACACAACTGACTGAGCCACCCAGGCGCCCAGTTTTTGCATTTTTTAAAATGTCTATTTATTTTGAGGGAGGGAGGGAAAGAGAGCACTCATGAACAGGGGAGAGGCAGAGAGAGAGGGAGAGAGAGAATCCCAAGCAGGCTCTGTGATGTCAGCATGGAGCCCAACAAGGGGCTTAATCTCATGACTGTGAGATAAAGAAAGATCTGAGCTGAAATCCAGAGGTGGGTGCCTAACCGACTGAGCCACCCAGTTGCCCTGATTTTTACATATTGATCCAGTCTCACATACCCGGAATAAATCTCACTTGGTTATAGTATATAATTCTCTTATTTAAAAAAATTTTTTTTCAATATTTATTTATGTTTGAGAGAGACAGAGCGTGAGTGGGGGAGGGGCAGAGAGAGAGAGGGAGACACAGAATCTGAAACAGGCTCCAGGCTCTGAGCTGTCAGCACAGAGTCCGACATGGGCCTCCAACTCAGGAACCATGAGATCATGACCTGAGCCAAAGTCAAATGCTTAACCGGCTGAGCCACCCAGGTGCACCATTGTGTATAATTCTTTTTAAACACTGTTAGATTAGATTTGCGAATGTTTTACTGATAATTTTTCAGCTGTGTTCATGAGAGATCTTGGTCTGCTGTTTTGCATTATTGTAATATTTTTGTTTGGTTTAGTTATTCGGCCAATTCTGACCTTACAGAGTTAGGAAGTATTCTCTGTGCTTCTGTCTTCTGGAATAGATTGTAGAGAATTTGTGTAATTTCCTAAATGTTTGATAGAATTAACCAGTGAACCCATCTGGGCCTGTTTCTTTTTGTTTTTGAAGGTGATTAGTAATCAACTCAATAACTTAAATGTGTGTAGTCCTTTTCAGATTGTCTTTCTTTTGGTTCTTTTTAGTTGATTTATTTGGGCTAATTAGGGCTGATGACTTAATATTGTTATCTTTTATACACATTTAGAGTTACTAAAGTATTTTCAGAGTGCTCCATGATAAATTATCTTAAATTTGTTTTGTATGTATTTTTATGGGATAATAATAAAATAAATCTCTTTCCTTCCAGCCTAGTGTGTTAATTGTAACCTACAAGGAACCTGAAAAATCATCTTCTCAGTTTGGATTCTACAAACAAGCTGAATGGAGGCCAGATAGTACCATGATAGCTGTGTCAGTAAGTAGAATTTTCAACTTCAATAGTGATTTTTATGAAGTCATTACATTGCATTTAAATTTGATTCTTTTAGATGACTTCCATTTCGGTCTTTCCCACCCATTAGCATTTATCTTCTGTGATAGGAATTGCTATACCGATTCTTCTATTCAGGGTACTCTTACATGTCTTTTTGTGATTCTTCTGCTTCCTCCCTTCCCTAAATTAAGCCTCCCTATTGGCCTCCCTATTGGCCTCCCTATTTCCTGAGACACACCTATGTGGAAATTAGGACAGCTTGTTACCCTAAGTAGTCTCTAAGTGTTCAGCTGAAAGTAAGGGCTGCACACCTTATTCTTTTGTCTTTAGTCTTCTTACTTTCCTGTTTTGTCCTGGAAGTTTAATCCAAAATTTTAAAACTTTCATCTCTATTCACACAATACTCCCAAATTTATGTTTTAAAGGCCTGTCCTCCATCTTTAAGGATGCCTCACAAAAATGATAACCTTTATGTTTTTATGGCAAACTAAATTTTCATATCCATTTTGATCTATTTTTGCATTTCTCCTCTGTTCGATTAGTGTGCTTTGATCTGGTTAATTTTACCCTTTCAATCTATGTTTTGTCATTGTCATCTCTTGGACTGTCATTGTGACCTAATCTGAATTAGCCATCATATATATATGGTTAATCTTTATTGAGCATCTCCTATGTAAATACTGTGATAACCATTATACGTGGATCATCTCATTTAATTTTAAATCAACAGTTTGAAGTAGATACTGTTATTCTTCGTAGTAAATGAAGTTGTATTGAAGATGTGATTTTTTTTTTTTTTTTTAGTTTTTATTTATTTATTTTGAAAGAGAGCACTTGCACGCAAGCAGGGGAAGGGCACAGAGAGAGAGGGAGAGAGTGAATCCAGCACAGAGCCCAATATAGGACTCTGTCTCATGAACCATGAGATCATGACCTGAGCCAAAATCAAGAGTTAGATGCTTAACCAACTAAGCCACTGAGTCACCACTTAGGAATTAAGTGTTATATAGATGGTGTATATCAGAAAGAAGGGATTAAATTAGGTATTTAGATTCTATTTACAGGCATAACTTCTGGTGTACTTTGCTTTATTGCGCTTTGCAGATACTGCATTTTTATAAATTAATTATTTGGCAATTTTGGTAATTATCACGATATTTCAAACTTTTTCATTATTATGTTTGTTATAGTGATTTGTGATCAGTGATCTTTTTGTTACTATTGAGGGTCGTTTTGGGGTGCCATAAACTGTGCATATGAGATGGCAGACTTAATAAATGTTGGGTGTGTGCTCACTGCTCTGGTGGCCTGTTCTTTCCCTGTCTGATCCGTCTCCTTGGGCCTCCCTATATGAGAGACACAACTATATGGAAATTAGGACCACTTGTTACCCTACAGTAGTCTCTAAGTGTTCAGCTGAAAGTAAGGGCTGCACACCTTTCACTTTCAGTTGAAAGCTAGAAACGATTCCCTTAGTGAGGGAAGCATGTTGAAAGCTGAGACTTCTTACGCTAAACAGCCAAGTTGTGGAAGCAAAGGAAAAGCTCCCGAAGGAAATTAAAAGCGCTACTCCCGTGAACACATAACGGATAAGAAAATCAAAGAGCTTTCTTGCTGATGCGGAGAACGTTTTAGTGGTCTGGACAGAAGATGAAACCGGCCGCAGCCTTCCCTTCCGAGAAGCCTAACCCAGAGAAGCCTAACCCAGAGCGAGGCCCTGACTCTTCAGTCCCGTGAAGGCTGAGAGGGGTGAGGAGCCTGCAGAGGACGAGTCTGAAGCAAGCGGAGGTGGTTTGGGGAGGTTTGAGGAAGGAGGCCGTCGTCCCGACGTGGAAGTGCGGGGAGGGGCACATCTGCTTACTGCTTGGTGCGCTGAGTGTTTTCAGCCCACGGTTGAGGCCTGCGCAGAGATGGAAACGATTCCTTTCAGAATATTGTCACTTATTCACTGTGCGTCTGATTGCACAAGAGTTCTGATGCAGTTGGACAGTGAGATTCATATTGTCTCCTGTCTCCTAACAAAACATCCATTCTGCAGATCAGAGAGTCATTCTGACTTTCAAATCTTATTGTTAAAGACAAACGTTTCTTAAGGCTCTAGCTGCCATAGATAGCGGTTCCTCTGATGGATCTGGGAAAAGTAAATTGAAAACCTTCCGGGAAGGAGTCACCGTCCTAGATGCCATGGGGAACTATTCATGATTCATGGGGAAAGCTCCAAATACCAGCATTATTAAGAATTTGGAAGAGGTCGATTCCAGTCTTTCTGGATGACGTGCAGGGGTTCGAGACTCGAGGGAAGGAAATAGATGCAGCAGGGGAACTAGGATCAGAAGTGGGGCCTGATGATGGGACAGAACTGCTGTCATGTCATAAAACGTGAGCAGGTGAGGAGTTGCTGTTCATGGATGAGCAAAGAAGGTGGTTTTCTGAGATGGAATCTACTCCTGGTGAGGATGCCATGAAGACTGTTGAAATAACCATGAAGGATCTAGAATATCTCATCAGCCAGGTTGATGGAGCAGCAGCAGCAGAGTTTGGGAGGATTGACTCCGATTTTGAAAGAAGTTCTGTGGGCAAAATGCTATCAAACAGCGCTGTATGCTGCAGAGAGAGTTTCGTGAAAGGAAGAGTCAGTTGATGCAGCAAATTCTGTTGTTTTATTTTAAGAACTTGCCACAGCCATCCTGACTTTCCGCAGCCACCACCCTGTCCAGTCAGCAGCCATCCCCAGGAAAAAGATTTCTAGCTGCTGAAAGCTCAGATGATAGTTGGCATTGTTTTTAACAGTCAAGTGTTTTTAAATCAAGGTATGTACACTGTATTTTTAAACATAATGCTATTGCAGGCCTAAATAACCACAGTGTGGAGTAAATGTAACTTTTATATGCACTGGAATACCAAAAAATTCTTCTGAGTTGGCTTTATTGTGAAATTCACTTTACTGAGGTGTTCTGGAACTGTAGCTGCACTATCTCAGAGGTATGCCTCTATTCTTCTGCATTAACTTCTGTCTCTGCTTTCTGTCCTTTTTTTAGTCTGCTATATAATGCTGACCAGGTTAATCATTGGAAAATGGTCCACATGATCAAAATATTAAATAGTTCCTTACTTCTGCAGACTACCAGCTACCTACCAAATCTACCTCCTGCCTATGTTTGTAAGGACAGTGAATTAAGAGTAGTTCAACATATTTAAATTACTTTAAAAAGTGAGAAATAACATATATACATGTTTTTTAATTATTTTTTTATAATTTGTTTTTTTTTTACTTTTTTAATAAAAATTAAAAATGAATAGATAAGGATTATTTATTTATTTATTTTTAATATGAAATTTATTGTCAAATTGGTTTCCATACAACACCCAATGCTCATCCCAACAGGTGCCCTCATCAATGCCCATCACCCACCTTCCCCACCCTACCACCCCCCATCAACCCTCAGTTTATTCTCAGTCTTTAAGAGTCTCTTATGGTTTGGCTCCCTCCCTCTTTTTTTTTTTCCCCTTTCCCCTCCCCCATGGTCGTCTTAGAATTTATTCTTAAGTTAGCTAACATACAACGTATACACGGTGCTCTTGGCTTCAGGAGTAGATTTTTGCATGATTCATCACTTACATACAATACCCAGTGCTCGTCCTAACAAGTGCCCTCCTCAGTATTTCCCCCTCTCCCCCACCCCCCATCAACCCTCAGTTTGTTCTCTATATTTAAGAGTCTCTTATGGTTTGCCTCCCTCTCTGTAACTATTTTTTTTTTCCTCTGATTCCCCCATGCTTCTCTGTTAAGTTTCTCAAATTCCACATAGGAGTGAAAACATAGGATACCTTCTTTCTCTGATTTCACTTAGCATAATACCCTGCAGTTCCATCCATGTTGTTGCAAATGGCCAGATTTCATTCTTTTCATTGCCAAGTAGTATTCCATTGTGTATATAAACCACAATTTCTTTATCCATTCATCAGTTGATGGACATTTAGGCTCTTTCCATAATTTGGCTATTGTGGATAGGGCTGCTGTAAACATCGGGGTACATGCGCCTCTATGAATCCGCATTCCTGTATCTTTTGCATAAATACCTAGTAGTGCAATTGCTGGGTCATAGGGTAATTTTATTTTTAATTTTTTGAGGAACCTCCACACTGTTTTCCAGAGTAGCTGCATCAGTTTGCATTCCTGCCAACGTGCAAGAGGGTTACCCTCAGAAATAATATTTTTGACAACTGAAAATTATATGAATTTTATTTTTTATTTTTTAAATTGAAGTTTAATTAGCATACAATGTTATATTTTCTGGTGCACAGAGTAATTCAATTCCACACATATATTCTCAGTGCTCACCAAGATATGTGTACTCTTTATCCTCTTTATCTATTTCACCCATCCTCCCTGCACACGTTCTCTGTGGCAGCCACTTCTCCCTCACTCTTTCAAAAATAAATAAATGTAAAAAAAAAAAAAAAGTCTTTTTTTGTCTTTTTTTTTATTCATTTGTTTTGCTTCTTAAATTGTCCATATTAGTGAAGTCATAGGGTATTTGTCTTTCTCTGACTTACTTTACTTAGCATAATACATTCTAATTCCATCCATATTATGTATGGCAAATGGTAAGATTTCAGTCATTTTTATGGCTAATATTCCTTTGCATTTATATATGTATATACATATGTATATGTACACAGACACACCATATTTTCTTTAGCCTTTCATCTTGGGATGGATACTTGGGTTGCTTCCATAATTTGGCTATTATAAATAATGATTCAGTAAGCATAGGGGTGCATGTATCTTTTCAAATGAGTGTTTCCGTAATCTTCGGGTAAATACACAAAAGTGGAATTACTGGATTAGATGGGAATTCTGTTTGTAATTTTTAAAGGAATGTCCACACTGTTTTCCACAGTGGCTGCGTCAGTTTGCATTCCCACCAACAGTGCATGATGGTTCCTTTTTCTCTACATCCTAACAGTTACTTCTTGTG